CATTCATATACTTCTGCAAACGGTGCTGCCATTGCTGGTAACAGTTTATGAAACAAGTGTTTTGAAGGCCTTGCAAAAGAACTAGAACAGAGGGGAAAAATTTTAAGAAAAAAAAGCCCATAATTATTTCAATTGGTAGTAACTCTGAAAAGAATGTTAATTTTTCTAAAATCCTAGTTCAGACTCTCTGGAGAAGTTTTTACTTTATATAAGGGAGAGAGAAATATTCTTATTTTAGAAGCAGTTTTTATTAAAAAAAGGAGAACACACATTTTGAACAAGGATTATTCTAAGTTAATTTTTTGCCAAAATATCGTATTTAAATACTTGTTTTTGTCAAAATATCCTTAAAACAATTTTATACATGTATTCTAATCTAAGTGACATTAAATATCATGAAAATTATCCATTTATTCACTTTTTTAAAATCTCAGTTTCGAACGTAGTTGGATACCTTAAGAACTTTAATTCATTTATTCCAATGTAAAAAAAAAAAAAAAAAAAAAAGAAAGAAATTCTCTTTATAACAAACTTTTTTCAACTGGTTGTTCGGAGAATAAGTGTTGAATACAATGTTAATTCTCACCTTATTAAAAAAAATATATATTTGACCTTTTTTTTTTTTTTTTAACCATCGTGCATTTTATTTTACTGAAAGATACTTATACAATGCCTTTGAATAAAAAATTTCTTTTATGCTTTTTTCATTGTAATGTTACGTCTCAATATCTTATTTAGAAAAAAAAATAGGAAAGAAAGCTCAATTATAAAAGTTTAAGGTTAAGATTACTTGATTAAGTTCAACGCTAAGGAGGCACACATTCACACAAACAATAAGAGCCGGTTAATTTTTTATAAGGAAATGAAATTCATTAAAGAGATATTTTTGTCAAATATTTCCTGGTAAAAAAGTTGAAAAATGAAGACACAAAAAAAAAATGATCATACTTTTTATATACATATGCATTTAATTTTGTAATCACGTTTGATGTTTAAGGTATCCGACTTCGTTTAGAACCGTGATTTTGCAAAAGTGTATGAATGGATAATATTTATGATATTTAGTGTCATGTAGATTAGTAAATGGCTATAAAATTGTTTGGAGAATGTTATTACAATTATTTAAAAAATATTTAAATACTACATTTTGACAAAAAATTAACGTAGAATGACCAATTTTCAAACCTCCTTTAAAGAAAAATGCTTCTATAGTAATAATATTTTGCCTGTATATAGCCCAGACCTCCGTACAGAGCTGGAACTAGGATTTTAGAAATATATAATTTAGGAGTGGATTGATCCATATTGTAATACGCGGAATGAATCATTTTGACCCCATTATAATCACAAGTACTAAATTTGCAATTCAACGATTCCTGGTGTGCGAAATGCTTTTACAGTCCTCTAAGATACCATATATAATTTTCCTGTACAATGTACTAGCAGAAAAAGCACTTATGGAAAGAAAAAAAACAATGTGTAAATAAACATCAAAAGTTATCAGATTCAAATCCAGATGAAATGAACTCTGGAACTTTTGTTAGAAATGATGGAACGGGTTGGGAAAAGCATCACCTCTGGAAGTTGTAAGCGTGGAAGAATTGTTGAACATAATATTTTCAAAGAAAAAATTGGCTCAACCAGTTATGCAAAGTGAAATATTTAAAATGGCTATGCAATTAATTCAGCGAAACTACTTATAGATGAGCCTATGCTTCGTCCTATCAAAAATTGTTCAGAGAAAGAAGCTGACCGGCAACTGGGAAAAAATGAATGGTCAACAACTTTAGATGAACTAGATGCTTTTATATCAATTTTGTATGCTCAAGGTATATACGGTGCAAATAATCTAGAGTTTGATAGTCTGTGGTTTGTTGTTTGGGGTCCACGTTTTCTCCGCAATATTATGGCGAGAGATAGATTCAGACAACTCATGAAATTTCTGAGATTCGACAAAAAAGCTACACAATCTGAACGTCTTCAAACATATTAATTGTATTTTATTTCTGAATTTTGGAAGAAATTTATTGAAAATTATAGATAATTTGCTCTAAACCAGGACCATATATATCTATTGATGAACAACTGTTTCCATCTAAAGCTAAATGTTGTTTCACGTAATATATGTCAAGTAAACCAGATAAATTTGGCATCAAGTTCTGACTTGCCGCTGATATTAATAGTAAATATGTGCTCAATGGTTTTTCATATTTGTGTAAATATGAGGAACGTCCTGTAAACCTGTTTCTTTCCGAATACGTCGTTTTGCGTTTGATAGAACCTTTCGAAAATAAAGCAAGAAATATCACTACAGATAATATTTTCATTACACTAAATCTGTCCTAAATGTTAAAAACGAAGAACACTAATTTAACTTGGACAATGAAACGAAATCGGAAATAAGTACCTGAATTTGTGAAAATTAAAGATGACGTTATACGATACATTTTTACTAGAGCATGATGAAATAACTTTGACAGTTTATCAGGGAAAAACAAGAAATATATGTCTTATTATTGAGCTCACTTCATCCCACAGTTGATATCGGCAATTATCACCCAAAACAGCTTCCAGGAACAATATCATTTTACAACTCAACAAAATTTGGTGTCGACATTGCTGACCAAATGGCTCGGAAATATTCTGTGAAGAGGCAGGATCAAATAGTTGGCCAGTTTATGTATTCTACAATATTCTTGATCTTGCAGGGATTAATTCATGGATTTTATAGAGATAAGTTACTGGAAAAAAACTTATGAGGAGAGAATATCTTCAACAAATTGCAGTGTTGTGCAGTGCGTATATTCACAAAAGAAAGTACAATTCACAGACAAGAGCGGATACTACTGAAGAATCTGCGCAGATGCAAAAAAAGGGTTCATTAGAAAGATTTTCATTGTAGAAACAATACTGTAGATACTTGTTCTAACTGTAAAATACTGATTAGTGGAAAGTGTACAAAATATATCAAAAGAAGTTACTCAAAATGTGTATGAGCTGTGTAGAGGAAATTTCGACTGATGAGAAACTAAATATTTCTATTCAAGTTGTCTGTATATTTTATTAACTGTATACAATGTTCCATATTGCAATATCTTATTATTTTTTATCCCTTATTGTAATAAATTTAAAAAATGAATAAATGTCATTGCCAAATAATTACAGCGTACTTTAAGCATAACAACACGAGTTTTTATTAATTGATGTCAATTTAACCCAACCCGCGGTTTTAGGTATACCGAAACTGCCGCTGTTCTAGTGTTAAGAAAAAAAAAGCTGATAATTATTTCATTTGGTAGTAAATAATGTAAATTTTTCAAAAAATCCTAGTTCATGCCTTCTGGAGAAGTCTTTATTTTATATAAGCACACACAAAATATTATTCTAGTAACAATTTTCATAAAAAGAGAACGTTTTGAAGTTAGGTTATTCTAAGTTAATTTTTTCCCAAAATATTGTATTTAAATCATTTTTTGTCAAAATGTCCTTAAAACCATTTTATACATGTATTATAAACTAAGTGACACTATATATCATGAAAATTATCGTTTTATGCGGGGGTTTTTTTTAAAAAAATCATGGTTCCGAACTTAATCGGATACCTTACTGAGAAAATGTTCTGTGTAATCTCGTGGTTGAATTTACCTGCAGGAGTATCAGACTAAAAATTGTAAATAATAAATGAAAGTGACACTAAAATGTTAAAATATGTTCAGTCTCGAAGTCCTTCCCTAAGGGTTTAATTTTGTAAAAAGACGTGCTATATAGTTCAGTGTCATCTACATCACGTGACTGTGGTGTGAAATTATGATGCTCTACTCTAATAGCTCTCGTGCAGTTTTGAAATGAGAATTTCATAAACATTAAACAATAAATTCTTCTCAAAACTAGGTTAGAGTTTCAATTAAAATGCAGTAATTTGAATTTTAAAAAAAAGCAGGATATCATGAAGAGAGAGATTCCTCTGAAATTAACATTTTTCCTTCGATTTCTGAAAATAACTTTCAATATTTTTAAAATGTCAAAAAATCCTTAAATAAATCATTAAACTAG